TAAGCCCACAACAAGCTTTACTATATTCCTTGAAATCGTTTATAAACATTAATTACAAAATATTTCTGACAAGTAAATGAAGAAATATGTGTTGTGTACGGTCACCATCAACAAAATAACAGGAATAATATACCACTATTTTCACATCTTTGAACTGATTTAACTCGGTTCGGACTGTGTTTTTGATATAAGACCCCATATATTTTTTTGTTTGTAATGTTATTCTGCATCAGTTTATCCACATTTGATCAACTGCCGCGAAAAAATTAAAAGGCACCACGCTCCATACAAATTTGGTCATTGTCATTTATTGTAAACATTTAAGATCTGAATAAAAGGCTAAAATTAAATTATTAGTAGTCGCTCGCGCAGCCACTGCACCGTGCAATCAATAGAAGCAGTTTTACACGATAAATAAAATAAAGTTAGATAACTTACATAAAAAAAGAAAAATAAGCTTCATGTTCAATTCCCTCTATGGTACCTATTAAACAAAAGAAAACATTCGAAACTATAATTTGATGAATGCTCATTAAATCATCTATTACTTACGTTTACTCAAATAGGTAATTAATTGTAGGTACAAAATACCGTAAAACATTAAATTATGTGGCCTACCACGTTTTTGCTCATTATCGATTAGCTAATAACAAATTGCAGAATACATGCATAAATACAATGTTCTAGCCAGAATTATTCATCAATAACTTGCTTTGAAATATAAACTTGTTGAAGCTGAAGTGCCGTATTATACCTCTAAATATCTGCCAGACCCGGTTCTTGGAAATAGAGATGTCACACTATGTTGGGATCGAACATCGCTACAAACAGGACAATTGTTGCAAACAAACCTGACATTGTAATGATAGATCGACCAAGCCGTCGCACAATGATAATTGATATAACAATCCCACATCCACTTTATCTTTTTCAGCTTTCACGAGAATCTTTAACCGATTTCCTAAAAAGGAGGAGGTTCTCATTGTGGGTAGCTGTACTGAGTTTAATGAATAATAATATTTTTTGGTTTTTAGTGAATTGTTTTTGAAGTGGTTTTTAAAACGTAGTTTTGTTTTTTAGAATATAAACATTTAACCCTTCACCACCGAAAAAGGGAGTTAGCAGTTCACTCGAAATAAGTTTACACCTGAATCTTGAAAAAAAATAATGTAAACTTGTTTTTCAAATATTAGCCACGACCACGCTGCGACTACCAAGTTGCCTGCTAATCTAACAGATGGCGCTGAAATAAACATGGTGAATTAGTGGAAATAAAGTCAGTACGTAGAAATTGGTTGAGTTTTCTGCTAATCTAACAGGTGGCGCTGAAACTGATATACAACATGGCTGTAGTAATGTATACTTTAACCCTTTACTTTGTTATCATTTTATGATCTTATACTTATTTACGTATCTACTTATTACTTATACTATATCTTAAACTTTGTTTTATAAAGCTTAAGAGTGTGTTTGATGGAACGAGGTAGTCTCACGAACTACAGGTCCTATTTGAAAGATTCTTTTTGTGTTGAATAGTCTATTTATCCTATCACATTTTCAACTTTTGATTAATGAAAAAAAACAGATCTATTGATCTGTGTCTGCGAATTTTCAATATCTTGAATAATATAACATATAAAATTTATTTTTAAACAATATAATATACAGTATTGCTTAAAATAATGTGGGAAATCCTAATTCAGACAGACGTCACAGTTGCCCACAATAGACCGGACATAATTTACACAAACAAAATATCCAACACCACATACCTCATTGACATAACCGTACCAAGTGACTACAACATAGGAGCAAAAGAAATAGAGAAGTTGAGTAAATACCACCTTTTAAAGACAGAGATTAGACGTAGACCTTA